CTACACACAATAACATATTTAACAGTCAATTATTTCAATTCAAAAGCAAAAATAAATTCAGCAAAAAATATTTGGTGACCTATCAGCGGTCTTGGGTTCACGTTTTGCTTTTCTTATTTCAAAGAAAACAACTTGATTTTAATTTTTAAACACTGGGTCGCTACTGCTGCTCTTGGATTGATAAGCATAGAGAATATCATCAGCTCAGTAATCAGTACTATATTTATCAAAAGTTTCTTACATTGTCCGTTTTTGAATTTATAAAATAGAAAAAAAGGTTTCAACTCCATCACACAAAATTGACCTAGGATGAATTTGGTTTTTTTTTTTTGGTTGTTTTTTTTTAATAGCTGTTCCACTGTATCGGCTCTTAAATATCATAGGCTTGAAAGTATGCGGCTTTGAATCTTCGTTGTGAAGGCATTTTAAAAAAAGGCTTCGGACGCATGAAATTTATAAAGTGTTGTTTTCATTTTATGTTGGTTATAAGAATCTTATTCTTACTTCGATGCTTTGGAAATATGGATACGAGAATCTAAGCTGTGATGTAAAAACACAGTTTGTGCTCTACAATACCGAGTAATTCTACAAGAATTGAAATCTGTTTATACTGTGCGTACAACTATCCAATGCGATATGTGTATAAAAGAAGGAAAGCGCACACAATTTGATACAAAACATAATAATTGTTTGTTTTTGATACACATTGCGTTACTTTCTTCTTGAAGTAACTTATTGTAAACTGCTTTGTCAACATTCTTGATGACAGTGATACCATACAGGTTCCCTCTACGGGATATAAAAATTTCTGCAACTACTGAGACAAATAGAACCAAACTTATTTTTAATAAACAGAAATGTAATATATTTGTACAGGCACAAATTGTTTCCCTATATGCTGCAATGGAAGGAATAAATTTAAGCTATTGTATGATGGTGATGTTTTGGTTTTGATATGTCATATTTTTGAATTCACATATTCATATAAACCTGATTGTTAATTTTACTTTTAAGTTATTTTCTTTCTTTCCTTTTTTTTCGGTTGTTTGTTTGATCTTGTGTTTACTTTACTCCATCAGGCAAAGTTGGCCTTAGATGGATTTGGTTATTTTTTTCTAGGTCCTTTTTGGTTTATAGCTCTTCAACGTTTTCGTTCCTTATAAATCCTTGGCTTTCATATATTCGGCTTTGGTCGTTACTAATGAAGGTAAAGCCAGAAAAGCACTTCGGACGCATGATATTTATAACGTGTTGTTTTTATTTTTTACTTTTATGTTTTTACTTCTATTTTTGGTTGTTCTGTTATTGTTTCTTGTTTGTTTTGTTGTTGTTGTTGTTAATTGTTGTTTTTATTATTTATTAGGGTTGGGGGAGTTCTACAGGGTTTCCCATTGAGACATTTATTTCACAATCAATTCCAATGAATTTTATTTAATAAAATTATTTAATAAAATATAGTCTTCATTTAAAGGAAAGTTTGTTTTAAACAATAAACATTCTTTTTAGTTATCCATTTAGATGGTTCTGATATGTAAACTTTATTACTCTATGGCTTTGTTATTCAATTCATCGTTGTGGCGTGATCGTCAGTTTGCAAAAAAAAATAGATAAACCCGGCCCGGTGCTAGGGGCCGTCTTAAACTTGCAGTGTGGTGAGAGCATTTAAGCTCTGTACGTGTTGAAGGCCTCACTGACTTTTGGATTTAGAATGATATTAAAAGCTGTGTTCCGTTGCTTTTTTTTTTGTGTTGTTTGCTTTACATGTACTGATTGTGTCTCATGGATAGATACCCCTTAACTGGCAATTTGTAAATCGAAAAAAATATTGACGATCCATACCCACCACTGTATCTTCCCCATACAATAAAAATTTTGGCACATCATTTTTGTTTTTCGCCTCGCTCCAATCGGCTCAATTGTTAAGATTCAGATACTTAGCTTCAACATCTTCCTCCAGGAATGTATTGTAATCTCAAGTCAATTAAACAATTTCGTTAATAAGGAATACATGTGAACAATGTGCTGAAATTGAATGAAGGTATGGTAAATATCAATGAGACCATAACAGGCATATTCCTTCATCCCTTTCTGGCTGTATGATAATATATTTCACAACTTGCTCGCTATGCCCGTCTCTGTAGTTGGTTTTATATTTCAATGAATAGTATTCATGTATAACTGGTAATTTAAATGGCAGGGATTTTGTTATCACAAATTAATAAAAACCTTTACCAAATTCTTTCAGAGATATAAAGATTTAGTTAGAAAGTTTGGCTGTGCCTGTAGAATTCTTATTACAAACGGGATATCCCATTCTTATTTTTACGGTGATGTTGTTTATAAAGCCTTTAAAGTTAGACACATTCCGTGTAAACTAATTGATCCTTTAAATAAACTTATTCTTAAAGGTCGTCAATTTAACTCAGTAGTTAATTTTTCAAATATAGATCTTATAGGAATACTAACATTGTTTCTGTTTTTGAAAAATTAAAACATAATTGACTACATGTGCTATAAATGTACAGCTATGATAATTTATTATTCTTCATCCTGTATATACTGTTTACTTATATTTTTGCATTGCACAAGGTCATACGTTTTTCAAACTGTTTATGACGTCTTTACGGTTAATCCGTTGGATATGTCCTGGTTGAGGAGTCAGGAGCCTGTTGTACAGTGGTTTTCTTGTTTGAATTGTAATGGGCCAAACCGTTTAGGAATTGGGAGCCACAAAACAAGGATTTTCTGGTTTCCGAACAAAAACTTAAGTATAAGTCTAAGGATCTCTATTAAATTGTACCACAAGGTTCCATACCAAAAAAAAAAAAGAAGATTTGGATTAATTTTAGGGGTTATGGTCCTTACCGTTTAGGAATTAGGAACCAAATAGGGGCTTTAAACAATAATTTACTAAAACTTTCCAAAAATTCCTAATATAAATGGGTTTTTAATGCAAAGTCTTGAATTCTTAGGGTTCTTTAGTATGCTGAATCTAACATCGCATTTAGATTTTGGGCACAATTCTAAAAGGGGCATTAGCTACGAGATATGAAAAAAATTAGAATATGATTTAATTTTAATTCAATCATTAATAAGAAATAAATAATGAAATAATAATTCGCTTTTTAGCAGCCAATTTGGGTCAATTTTGTCAAAATAAGCAAAATAACATAGTTGAGGAATTATTCACTTGCAAGTGAATAATTCGACCTCATTGAATCCGTATTCATGTGACCTTCAATTTAACTCACTAGCTAGGGTTGGTTTTGCATGTATTAGTCGTGTTCAGCCATTAAAAGGAAAAGAATGTCAACATTGAAAGTGAATCAAAGGTGAACCGTTTCGTTGACTGTTTCGATCCACACAAAAAAAATCATTCTTATACAGATAATTAACTTATTTTTTTAACCTAAAACATGAAATCAAATAGACATAGAAAAGTCCAGTTGCACGAAGTCGCTATCTATTTATATTTATGTTTCTGTTTATATCGGGTTATATGACCGTCAGCAGTCTTCGGAGGTCATCTCGATAGTTAATTATATGGCTTCTAGAGTAAAATACACACGAAATTCTGATATATATTATCGATTACATGCATTCTTAACTGTTCATTTCAGACTTATTTTAATTTGGATAGGTGTTTTAGTATGTAATAAATGAAATATGTGAAAATTTGAGTCAAATCGGTGAGCATGATTTTGACAGCTAATGCCCCTTTAAATGGTCCACATTAAGGCAAAAAGGGTCCAGATTTAAACTTTGTTTGAATTTAACAAAAAATGAATTTTTGGGGTTCTTTGATATGCTGAATCTAAACATGTATTCAGATTTTTTATTTTGGGTAAAATCAGAGTTAAAAATTAAACTTTGTTTGATTTCACAGATTTGCTAAATTTTGGATATTTATTGGACCATAATAGTTAAGTTCTTAGACCACATTCATTCTATGTCAAAAACCTATAATGTGTCAAATACTAATTCACGAATCCAAATTCTGGGCGTCTGAGCTGTATCAATCTTCAATGTTGTGTCCATACTTGCCCCAGCTGTTCAGGGTTCAACCTATGCGGTCGTATCATACTGCGCCCTGCAGAGCATATTATTTTTATATAATATATAATATCCCCCCCCCCCCTTTCCCCCTTTAAGCTCTTAATCCATTACTGGTGCAATATTTTATTGAACGATAATATTGATATAAATAGAAAGTGTATGCATTTATTTTTGATATAAAGAATAAAAGTATTGAGAGCTGTTAGGAGTGGTGAAATTTGTATGTCTTTGGAAAAGGGTGTCGTGAATTTATTTTCCTTCCTCAGGGTGGGGACTTGAAAAAAATAAGAGAAATTTCCAAAATTCCTCCCATCCCCCCAATGACAGAAAATGACCAGTCACCTAGTTAAAAGTATAAAAATGATGTTAAGTATCACTATTTCAACCTATTTTGATATGAAACACATGACTTTGGAATTCAGAATTACACGATAAGAGTGTGGACAAAAATATTTAGTTTGTTATGCACGTGTTTGTATTGCTTGTCATTTTGTCATTCTTTAGACATATTAGAATAAAGATGTAACATCGATTTGAGTTATTTTGAATATATTGTTGAATTGTGAACAATAGATTCCCAATGTTATGAGAAGCTAAGTAACATCTTTATTCTACTATGTCTAACTGCTTCAACTTCTTTCAATATCGTGTAACTTCCTTTAGATTTATTTCCATAGGTGAACACTTTTTAAGAAAGTGTCCAAGGAAATATTCAAAGAGCAAAATATCCGGATGAATAAAAATGAGCAATAGAAAATAACTCTCCATTCCTGAAAAATAATGGAGAGTTTGAACAAAAGATTTACGTCACATATGTATTTTAAGATAGATTATATTTGAATCATTAAATATGAACATTGATATTAAACAAAAACCCAAATCCTATGACATAATGCATATGTAGACTCAATTTCTATTTTTATTTTTAACGACATGAGTTGAATATAAATGCAGCAACATGTTTCGCCGATAAGAAGAAAGACATTTCTATTTTTTTCCAAGGAGAGTATAAATATCCTGTGCGTTTATGTGTTGAATATCATATGTAGAACATCATATGCTGGAATAGCCAAGTAAGGTAAAGCAATTGTAATTTTCATTACTGATAAAGCGTCAAAAATCGAATATGGAAAAATAAGTAAGGAATTACTTTGAAATTCATACATTTCTTTGCATTAGAAGTTAAGAGTTCAACTTTTCGTTCCTTTTTTGTTTTAAAGGCTTTCCAAATAAGCAAGGAACACCTGCATGAAATAAGAAGATTTGGTAAAATTGCAAATAAGACAACTATCTGCCAGAGACAAAATGATCTCGAAGTAAGCAACTATAGGTCAGCGTACGGCTTTGAACAATTAGCAAAACCCATACCGCACATGGAGCAGTCCACGTTTTTCTTCCTTTCGAAGTATCACTATGTGTTTACCCTTCTTGGGTTTTATTTGCCTCTAATATTGCACCACTTTGCTTTGAACTAGTAATTTTAAGTACTCTAAGACCGGTAGTTTGTTTTTAAGTCTTTTTGATAGTTCCGACACTGTGTCGAGCTGATGAGTCCAGCCTTTTCCAAATACTATTTATACATTCAATAGTTTGTTCGTATGTTGTTCTGTTGTACCACTGTTAGGGAGAATATTCGATGTCTGCAAACATGTTTACACCCTGACGCATTCTGTACGTACACGTCCAAAGTCAGAGGTAAATCAGTTAGTGTTGCTGTATATCTTATCAGTTTTTTTTTATTATTGTTCAGTTTCATAAGTTTGTCATTTCGATGCCTTTAATAGAATGCTACACGGTATGGGTTTTGCTCATTGTTTTTTTTATTTCCCCAAGATGTGATTTAGATATTTGGAATAAGATATTGAACAGAAAAATAATTGTATACGCATTTGAAACGATGACTTTTCTTTCTACAGTTTTTCTAGTTTCAATTGCTCTTAATATCTATTAATGAATAATATTATATGGACTGTCATTTTTAAATAAAATAGCATAAGAATTCTTAAAGTGTTCATTATTTGTACTAAAGGATGAATGGAAGAACACAAAACATTTTCAAATGTATTATACAAGCAGAAGAAAATGCTTATTTGTTCTGAAAGGATTCCTTTCGTAAAGCGTTATCAAGATGCAGATTGCTATTGCGCCTGTCATCGGCTCCTCACTTAACATACTCTTAAATGAATAACGCGAAATAATTTATTGAAATATAAGCAAAAATTTCGAATTCTTATTGTCAAGGATTATTCTTACAAATTTTATAGCCACTTTCTTCCAACATTATAATATTTATTTATAACAAATTCTAAATCTATGGAATACAAATAGGAATATCAGCTAGTTCAATTGTGAACAAGTTTGTACATTGATTATTTAACGATCCGGTTACCATTTGATAATAAAAAAATATGAAGCAAATGCTAAATCTCTTTTGTAATCAACTTAAAAACATTTAAAAAAAAGTCCTGTTTGCTGGTTGTTTCCGAGCAATGATTGACTGGAAATCCGGATTAATTTAATATAATAACACGTTTATGTCACTATAACCTGACATAACTTTTAAATGGACATATTGTTCATGTTGTTGTGCACATACATGTACGGAAAGGATTAATCTGAAAGCTGTCTTTATTGGGATTTTTTTTCAAACATTGTAGAACGGAAGAATTGTGGAACCACAATGAGAAATTTGTATTTTAGGGACAAACATAAGTTACTTTCGATAAACTTTGGGTTTTGGTTGTAATTCCTTTTTCAAATAAGTACTGAAATAAAATCTGATCGATCAAATTACATGATATCAAATAATATATTGTTTTGTCCGCTTATTTAATAGAAGACACCCGTTGTACATTTTAGTGTTTTAAATAAAGTTTTGAGTTGTCTTTAGGCAATTATAGTATGGGAATCTGACCATAGATACTTCATAATGTTATATTGAAACTAAAATTACATTGTGCTTTTGTAAATGTTAGTATAATTCTTTTGACGTTCTCTTCGTAAATTACAGAATGAACGGACATAAACCAGTAACAGAAACGAGAATTGCAACCTTAGTTTTTTTTAATTTCATAATGTCTGCGCTTAAAGTTGTACAGTGAAAATACAAAAGCATTGTTTCTATGACCAAATTACTAGCTATTTGGTGAACGACCTTTCCAGCACTGAGTATCTACGAAACGACTGTTTTCATTCATATAGTCCTGATGATAAGCTCGAACGTACAACACATGTTTCTAGAATAACTTTCTTCTTTCACAAAATGTACACCCGATATTGACAGATTAAAAAGTCAAGTAGAATTCACAAACATGTTTAAACACCTCCGGGTGCGGGATTTTCTCGCTTCGTTGAAGACCCATTGGTGGCCTTCGGCTGTTGTCTGCTCTTTGGTCGGGTTGTTGTCTCTTTGACATATTCCCCATTTCCATTCTCAATTTTATGTTGATATTAAAAATATTAAATTGCTGTGTACAATCTTTAAATTAACCATTTTTATTTTACAGAAAAATGGGAATGTGCAAAATAGTTATTATAGCTATTTTTCTGATAAGCATCTCGACGATAGATAAAAGCGAAGCAGGTACGTTTGTTTGTTAAATTCCTACCTCTCCATTAAGGTCATATCACCATTTTGATATGTTCAAATTTGCATTTATTTAAACGGATATACAACGGAACATTTCGTAAAATATATTAAACGCATAAACAGTCACATAAAAAAAAATCTTTTTAAGAAAAGGGTGATCTGGCATTCTAATTTCAAATCAATGTATTTATATCTCTCCAACAATGTATAACAAAACGGTTGTGGTCATGAACCAACTGCGGTTTGTAGGTATTCACAATACGAAACTGTATGTGGTTACCGATGTCCGTGTGTTTAGTGTAAATTCTAAAATCTGTTGAAATTATTGTATTACGTACGAACAGTATTTTTCATTTTTCTCAGAAATGTTGTGGCGGTTTGTGGCCTTGAAACCTTTGAAATTTACGTAAAGTCTAATAAAGGCCAAGATGATATATTGCCAATAAAGCGCCACTTTGGACGCTATTTTTTGTGTTTAAGTTAAACACCTTGAAACAAAAATGGATTTCACATGGATTATTATATTGCTTTTGTTGTAATGTTTAATGAAGAAACAAATTGTGTGAAATTATTGGGGTTTTTTCAGCTCCTGAACTTTAATTTACCTGTAAGAATCAATTATGCTACCTTCAGCTGTCAAATATTTTTAAGAAAGAGAAAAGTTATTCTTAAAAATATTGGACAGTTAAAGGTAACAAAATGGTTTCGTACAAGTAAATGATAGTTCAATCACTAAAATAAAGAACAGGTACAACAATAGAATGACGTCACAACAATGTTTTAACTTGAATGATGGTTGCTGCACACAAGAAGATATTGAATCACTTGTTCAGTCTGGGGAAAAAACTGTCTCCGCTACAATCATGTCTTTTTTCCCTGATTATGAAATCACCGGATGAAACTTATCTTGGACAGATTTCACTAACCTATATGGAACAGCAAGAGTTCATCTAGTAGAGGGTGAACTTCTTATCCATCACGAGCACATGATTTCACTGATAACTTTTTTTGGAATGCTTATTAATTATCAGTCTTTATTTCATGCTTTCGGAACTGTATGTTCGTCAAAATTCATGAGGTCTGAATGCCTCTTTTAACAGTACTAAATGAATTCAATTTCCCCATATAGTTTTAAGGTAGATTCATGGTATACCGCCATCTTGGATTGTACAATCGCAGTATACAATCGGTCTAGATCTTTGCCCAAATCTGCAAATTTGGAGACAGATAGGCAATTTATAGGTTAGACTGTTTATTTGATGAAAGAAAACTTGGTGATATATTGCATTATTCATAATGTTTAAATAAATACCAAATATTTGTGTTTTTAGAATAATTTTTCCAACTTGGCCATTTAAGGGGAGATAACTCTTTTAGTAAAAAAAATTATACTGGATTGATAGGGAAATTTTAATTTTTTACTTGTAGCAAGAAAACAAGTTCGGTGACACCATTTTTTCTTTTTATTTTCCCAAAGCATATTATAAAACCTATCTTCTCATATTTTATTTCAAAATTATATCTCATAGATTTCTTTTTATGCACAAAAATGTGTTTTTTCATGAACAATCTAAGCAAATTTGGGCAATTTCGTACGACCCGTAGCTTGAAATATCACACGGTGACCCATACTTATTATTATATTTTTGGAAAAAGCATAGAAAAATCTTTATTTTGGCAAAGTATAAAAAAAATTTATCTGAGGAAATATATACCTACATGTATGATCTACCTTATTATAGTTTGTCAACAAGCGGGGGCCGATACACATACTAAGGTGGCCATACAAAAGACAAGTCTAATAAAAACAGACACCGCCATGCCAAAAGTATAAAGCGACGAAACAAAGTCCATAAAACATCATCCAGCAGGAAACATTATCGATTTATTAGAATTGCATATTGGTAAACTAGTGTTGTCTTGATATATGATACACATTGAATCAAAATGACACGTTGACTGGATGTTAGGCACCTTATGATCAACCAATCAAACCTTCGAAAGATAATGGAGATAATATGGCACTAAACTAACATTCTTTCAATCAGATAATACAACAATTCGGTAATCTATTTCGTTGGAAAGAAAATCGTAATGCTTAGTTTTTTTTTAAAATCAAAGTTTTGTCAACAATTAATTTCCAAATTATGTTTTACTTTGTCACGTAGCTTCTACGTATGAAAAGGATGGTTTGAGCGCGTATCATACCTGTTCAACATGTCTATTTTCATTGCATATGCGATGCCGTTCTGTCTTGACGTTATATTTTTCTTTTTGGTCTTACGGTTCGGGGATGTAGGTGTTGTTTGGGTTACTGTTCAATATGTTTGATATTTCATACTCATTATTTCTGTGATGACATGACATATTATAGATGTAGCCATATCATAAATAAACAGTTTACAAAAAAAAGTGAAAGAAACCAAAGTGTCATTTAAAATGATAAGTCGAAAATAAACTGACAAAGCCATTGCAAAATAAGAAAAAGACCAAGAGACCAAAAGATAAACTACTGTATACAAAGCACATTGAAAAAAGACTGAGAAACGCAGAAGTTTGAATTGTTTGAAAAACTAGGATTTTCTACTCCAGAAATAAATTACATTAGCTGTATTTAGCAAAACCTTTCGGCCATCATTCATGAGACTCAGAGTCTTGTCTAGTCTGGCGTACAAAAATATATGCCTGGTGTCTTTGATCAGTTTATTTTTAATATTAGTTAATCAACATTCATTATGACAGAATATTTGTTAAATTGTTGTCTGGTAAACAGCTACTATTCTGAAGCATAGTTCTATAGCGCATATGTGCAAATTGCTTTAAAACATGCAATATTCTATTTTTATCTGACATTTCATTAAATCTAATTAACGCTTCAGATGATGTAAAATAGCTGTTTTATTGACATAAACATGAGATTGTAGGCAGACAAATTACCTTAATTACAGTTTAAAATTTCAACAGCTTATTTAAATATTTGTAATAGAATTGTTAGGTATGAACGAATGATTTTGATCAATATTAAGACCCTATTTTGTTTTGTATATATATATATAGAGAGCAGACCACCTTAACTCTCAATCGTACCATCATAACCGGAAAAAAAAATCCCGGAATCGCCGATTCAGGAGAAAAAAACAAAGTTGCATGAACTCTACAAACACTGTAGTCAATTTGTCTTCAGTTGCTTTGTCGGAGACCGAGACTAAGGTACGGTCAAAAGGTCTTAAATTTTGTCCCACGCCGGGCAAAATAGATTCTATACTTTTGGAAGATGACCTAGACAAGTTAGCAAGATCCCTCAGAATCAAGGAATATTTTTCTAAGGACACCACAAAAAGTACCACTGATAGTGACACAAGTGATCTCGACTCAGATGACGACCAAGAAGATGTCGAATTCCCAGATTCAGGAAAAAAAGTTCATGGATTTCTAAACCCAGTAAATGTGCTACTTTAGAACATATTATTGACAAAATTAAATCCGACGTAACACATCTGTCCACTGCCACTTCCCAAACATTCAACAATTTATCGTCTGAAGAAAATGAAGCTGTGCGGTTACTTAAAAACTTTATAAGAAATTAGACTCTGACCCCACCCCTCAATTCAACAAAGAGATCACCACAAACCTGAAAAACATGTGTGAACAGGGACATATTGATGAAAACTCATTTTAATATCTAAAACCTGAAAAATCAAAGCCGGGGCGTTTCTATCTTCTGCCCAAAATACATAAAGTCAATAATCCAGGTAGACCAATTGTTTCCGCCAATGACCACCCTACAGAGAAAATATCAGAATTTATTGACTTTCATCTGAGACCACATGTGGAAAATTTACCATCCTATATACAAGACACAACACATTATCTTAAGAAAATGGAATCTTCAAACCCTCTCCCACCTGAAACTATCCTTGTCTCGCTTGATGTTACCTCCCTCTATCCTAACATCCCCCATGACGATGGTATTGAAGCCTGTAGGAAAGTCCTGAACTCTCGTAACACCTTACATCCACCGACTGAATGTCTCATCCAGCTTCTAACTTTGGTATTACAATGCAATAACTTCACATTCAATGGTGAACACTTTCTCCAAGTTAATGGAACAGCAATGGGAACAAAGATGGCCCCGTATTATGCCAATATTTTTATGGGGAAATTAGAACAGAGAATTCTCAATTCTTCTCTTTATCAACCCCTCTCTTGGTTCCGATTTATCGATGATATTGACATGAAGTGGGATAATACTGAACAAGAACTAAATTTGTTCATTCAACATGCCAACGATGCCCATCCCTCAATAAAATTCACATATGAAATCTCTGGCTCTAAGATCACATTTCTTGACACTCCAACGCAAGTGAGAGATGGAAACATATTTACAGATCTGTATTGCAAGCCCACAGACAAACATCAATATCTATCTCCTTTAAGTTGTCACCCTAAACATTGCACCAACAGCATTCCCTACAGCCAGGCCATACAAATAAAAAGGATTTGCTCCACCAACGATATTGCAAAAAAACGACTACAAGAACTTCGCGGTCACCTAAAACATCGGGGCTACAAAAGAAAAGACATTGATAAAGTTTTTCTCGTGCTAACAACATCAGCTGAGACTTTACAATATAAAGTCAAAAAGGTCAACAGGAGGGTGCCTTTTGTGTTGACTTACCATCCAAAATTTGACAACTTATCTCACCTTATCCGCGAAAATTGGAAAGAAATCGAAAAACATCCTAAACCATCCAAGATCTTTCCCGAGCCACCTGTACTGGCTTTCCGTAGGCCCAAAAGCCTTAAAGACTTGCTGGTGAGAGCTGATTTATCCTCTCAAGCAGGCTCTTCGTCTGTGGGCTCTTGCAAGGGTTGAGGAAACAAACGATGACTTGCAAACAAATACTGGTTACCCAGACTTTTAACAGTCTATCCACTGGTACAGAATACACCATATTTTGCAATGTTAATTGCAAGACTACAAATGTTGTGTATCTCCTACAGTGTAAATGTGGTTAACAGTATGTTGGCGAGTCAGAAAAGCCGTTTCACAAACGAATGAACGGTCATCGTAGCGACTACCAGTGCAAGCCAGACCTCCCTCTCAGTCGACATTTGAGATCCCCTGGCCACACTAAGGAATATCGCAATCGACTGACCATTAAAATCATTGACCACAACTCTGCTTGGTCTAGGGAGGATAGACTCACTCGGGAAAGATTTTGGATAAGAAAATTAACAACTTTGGCACCAAATGGGATAAATAAAAAGATGTAGTTCGACTCCATGCAGTGCTTCACATTAGTGTGATATTATTTATTGTTACAGTCTCTGTTTCTATGTCTGTACCTTACTCATCTCTAAAATAAGTCTGTTGAATATACCAATTTAAATTGCTTAATTTTTTGAGGGATGTAAAAGTACCAAGCCACGTTCAACTAGTTAACCGTAGTCAAAATTTATTATTATATTTTAACGGCCGTTTGTTTGCGATGTTTAAATACGCAGACTCTGTTGTAACTACTCTACCGTTGTCAAATTTGAAATATTTACAAATTTAGATCGTTCAGTGCTGTTTATTTGGAATTCTTATTGACGCAATCGTTCTTGTAACATCATAACTGTCGTCACCGTTAAAGCTTATTATTTTTATTTAAAGCATATATTTAAACTCTCTTTTGTAATTAGTCATGTAACCTATGTCGTGTTTAACACATATTTAGAATTGTGCAAGCGTTTTACCTGATGTTCGGTTTGACTTTTTTATTGTATAAATTTCAAGATTGTTATAGTTTAATCTAAGTAGACTGATATATGATTCATTCAACATCACAATCATATATACTGATGAAGGATATCTGTTAGCCGAAATATTTATAAATAATTACATTTATAGTTCCTTTTTTTGTTATTGGTGTTGTTGTGTACACTTTTTAGGCGTTTATATATATATATATATATATATATATATATATATATAACATTTTCCAAAAGACCAAAAAAGTGAAAAAGAATATTTTAACAAAACGCATTTGACTAACAGGTCGAACAACAAATGTTCTTAAATCCTGCTGACTGCCATTGGCGATTGCCAAATAAACGGATCACAAGGTGTAATAATGGATCTTAAGTATAAATTTGATACCAAACAGAAAACTAAAAAACTTGCGGCAAAGATGGTATACCGCAAACAAAGGTGCAAAGATTTTTTGTACACCATATCCGGATTTCGACAATTAATGTCTCTTCAGTGATGTTAGGAATCGAATAATTATTTCTGTGACTGTATCTTACGATCCTTTACGATAGATAATTTAGCTAATCTGTAATTAATTCCATCTTCATATCTAATATATCAGAGTAGAGCGTAGAGTTGTTTAGACGTACTTATCAAATAATTATTTCTGTGACTGCATCTTACGATCCTTATCATAGATAGTTTAGCTAATCTGCAATCAATTCCATCTTCATGCCTAATATATCATGTACTGTTTTACAACTCTAGATTCTACTGACGAGGAAAAGTAACACTAGGCCACCGAAATCTGAATTTTTAGTTTAGTCTAGGTGGCCGAATGATCTAGAGCGCTGGACACAGTGCAGACGGTGTTGTTTCGATATCCCATTAGCATGAGTTCGAATCCCGGCGAGGGAAGAACACAAATTTCCTTCCACAAATTTGCAGATTTAACATTGTTGTGCTGATATTTAGAGTAGTTATGAATATAATATGTGTTTTCGGCCGTGTATCACCTTCACTGTTGATCCAATGGATGGATCCGTCGTAGAGTTGTCACTTGTTTAAACGTACTTATATATGTATATACGAAACAGTTTTTTTTTTCACTATTTGCCTAACAGATATTCAATTGCATTATATTACACAGGTTATAGTCTGCAGTGTCCACCAATTAATCCAGATCATGTCAGTCATTGTGGTATTTTATGTCGACCTGGAGGGTGTACTAGAGGATATCTTTGCTGTTCAATTGGTTGCGGTACACAGTGTGTAAGGGGAATTTGGATTTATAATTAAACAGAGAACTACATATGCATCTGGTAAGATATTATTATACAGTACTGTCTCTAATATTGATAATGAAAACACTTACACAAAAAAACAACAATTTTGCATAGTTTTTTTGGGTTGTTGCTCTTCAAGATATTTAATAATTTTAAAAAGCACACATAGTGAAAATTTAACTTCATACTTGTTACCCTTAATTCGGAGCACACATTCGGATATGCATGTTTTTGTTGTTCGGTGTCACACTGTTTGAATAACACCACTTGATATTTAGGTAATCACTGTTTATTTACAATGATCAAACACTATGTAGATACCCGCTTAGTAACTCATACTTCATTGTAATCTATGTTTATTGAGAATGAGAAAACAACTTAATAAAAGAGAGGCGAAAGATACCAGTGGGACATTCAAACTCATAAGTCGAAAATAAACTAACAACGCCATGGCTAAAAAAGAAAAAGACAAACAGACAAACAATAGTTCACAAAACACAACATAGAAAACTAAAGACTGAGCAACACGAAACCTACCAAAAACTTGGGGTGATCGCAGGTGCTCCGGAAGGGTAAGCAGATCCTATAATAACAGTTGCAAAAGTAAAAACATGGGCGCAATTATAGAAGGCAAAGAATTAGCTGTATATTGATGCAAAAGAAGTGAGATTAAACGCTCAGCAACCAAAACAATAATTATCAAAATATCAAATGTATGAATAAAAAGATTTTTTTTAACTATAAGTTGATAATACGGTTAGTAGATAACAGAAATAAAAAAAATCTTCTACTGGGCAGCATATATTTTTTCAAACTCTCATGTATATATCCAGCCGTAGTACTAATACCTCGATAAAGCTTGTCTAGGTGTCGAACAGATTTTTTTTTTATTTGCATATACTATATACATATATTTTTTCATTGTTGTAGGCTACAAGCAGAAAAAAAAGTAGCAGTAAAGAAGAGTGATTCAATTAATACTTTTTATTGTTCCAAAATCAACATAAGCTTCTATGTTTTCTCAATTAAAATTATCAAATTTGAATACATTTGAATACAAATCATAATCAAAGTTCTTTATATTTCTATTTACGCAATTGCCACTTTTGATTATTCGATATGAAAACAATGTTATCTGCACATACCAACACGGAAACAGACGATTGTCTGTAACTGTTACTTTGATAATATAAACGGTACCAATTCTAATGAACTAGATGCGCATTTCGACAATTTATGTTTCTTCGTTGATGCTCTAGGCCAAAATATTTGAATACCCAAATCTATTACAAATGGTGAAAAGCGGATCAAATAAAAAAGGACCTAAAATTAAGCAAAATCCGGACAAGAAATCAGAGCATTGCTCCAGATGTGCATTTCGACAATAAATGTTTCTTCAGTGATGCTCGAGGTCAAAATATTTGAATACCTAAATTCTAATACAAATGTGGAAGGAAGTGCGGATAAAACCTAAAAGGACCTAACGTATAGCCAAATCCGGACAAGGAATTAGAGCTTTGCTCAAAGGAGATATATTCCTTAATTTAAAAACATTTCCTTAATTCTATAACAGTAAATTTTGAACAAACCATATCCGTCTAATGACAAAAAATATTGTCGAAATGCACATATTGTGTAGTAAAATTGGTACCGTGAATGTTATATTAAGTGTTTGCTTGCAATAAAGTTGATAAGTTGTTTACAGTAGAAATGGTCTTCTTAAAACTATCTAAATTTATCGACAAAAGTTATAATTAGACTGTTATTGGTGAATAAATTCTGCGTCTGGTATCAAGTTATTATTTTTTTTTGTATTTATTTTCGCATATCTATATTGTAAAACAAATCTTCATTAAGATGTTTTCTGTTTTGTTTTAAAACGGTGCACTAATTTAGCTGGAAAATTGCATCTGATTGTATTTTCTAACACTGTTCGTGAATTTTTATTTTGAAATTTACTTCGATAAGAGTGTAGGACATTATCTCAGTTACAACAGTTAATTTACTGTTGAATTTGTTTCTGGAACTGTGAGCATTCTTTAATACAGTATTTTTATTTTTTTTTATTCAGTCTCGCCCTCCTTGAATACTATTGTGATAAATGTACAAACGATACCGGCTGAAGTGATCATATTTGAAAGCATTTTTTTTTTTAAATTACCTACTCTACATACATAATTATTTGTCTACAGATTAAATAAAGGAAATAAATTATTACAATTAATGTTTCAGATAAGTTGTAATGTCAAAGCATCCCATTATGCGAGTGCTAAACTGCTCAGTTTAATACAAAAGAGACCCAAATACCAAAGGTAGATTCAAACCTCAAAGAAACCCAAGAAAAACCGACAAAACCAGAGCAAAAAAAAAAAAAAAAACCAAAGACGACGAAAGACAAAAATGCGTTATAGTACAACATCACGCACCATCGTCTGAAACAACATGCAAAATTCAGGAAATCGGTAGACAATCTAGATATCCTGATTTGGAACAAGTGCAAATTTTTAGTCCATTTATTGCAAAACAAATTCACAATAAAAAGCTATTGCTTGTATTTATTTCTTGTTTCCTGTCTGTCTTTCTTTGACAAAATGATGGATCGTGATTACCCTCCCACCTTGAAATTTTCTTTCGTATACAAGAATCCATTGTCATGAAGAATAACAAAATATCGTCTTTGTATAAGTTTGACTTAACTTGTGCTATAACTAGTTGATATAATGAGTAGGTTACTATTTTTAAAATGCAAAAACAAAAATGACATAGCATTTCCTGAAAGTTTAAGAAATGTTAAAAATAAGTTTGATTTCAGACAAATACTATTCTTCTAAGTAGACAAACCACAGGATTTCTTTTCTATATGCTTTTAATCGACACATCAATCAGATAGGAAGATAAATTGCAATCACCAAGTGTTTCCTTGTTTTTAAGTAACAGTACTGCTGTATACGTGTATTGTTTTATGCCCCAGTCTGTCCGTCCGTCCATTCGTCCCATATGATGCATGGTTTATTTTACATTCTCCTTCAGTTTGCAAACTAGAACTTTTATGACATGGATGGTGTAAGTGCATATATTAAGGGGTGCATAAAACTTGGATTTTGATTTTTTCCTTTCTTAAATCCCACACACGAAAGAATATTAAACGTTGTCATTTTGGAGTAAAATTATGCATGCTAACAGTTTTCAAGTTCGCAATTTTATAATAAAATGCTGGATGATAGAACTTTTACTAACTAGAATGTGCCGATTGCCAGGATTGCTTTTTTCTTGACATTTTTTACAAATGTGAAGATGTTGAACTAGGTCAATTTTATTCCCCTCCCTTTTAACTTTGAAAAAGTTAAGATTTTTAAAAGTTTGAAACACACAGCAACACAATTGTCCTTCGATATGAACTAAATAAAACGGGGGTTTCAAATGTGTCGCACAGACACAATATTTTCAAGTTCTACTTCAACATCACTGTTTATTAAATCTACAGTTGCTAACTTATATTCATGCATTCAGAGGGAGCATCAGCCTTTCACCGAAAGAAATTTAACAAGAGCATTATTGTTAAATTAAAAAAAAAGAACAACTGTGACACAGAGAAATCCATATGGAAGGAAAAACAAAGAGAAAACACGAGATCATAAATTGATCCCTACTTTTAAGTTAATGTTTAACCGAGTGTAAAATAACATACAAAGACAAAAACACAATACAAAATAATGTCGTTGACAGCCAAAATATAAAATCTGATTTCAAAAATATAATGGTAAAAAATTAGGACAGTTACGAAATTTAGGGAGAGTTTACCGAAAACATCCGAGAAGTGACTGTTTATATTATAGATTGGCATATATTATAGGCATACAGTATACTTTTGCCACAGTCTACTGTTGGCTAAATGCGTAACATGCAATAATGTCACGTCTGCGAAGCTCAGTCCCTTGATATTGCCATACATTTTTGTTGATAGTTGTTCATTCTATTTAAAATTTCATAAAAGAGAAAAAAAATAAGGCAATCCGATTATGCTAGAGCCGCTGAGCATGTCATTACAGTCGCAGTCAGTAGCGAAACTGTTGTCTCAAATACAATGAAATGTAAAGTGGTCAAATCTTTAGTATTCTCTACGTTCTTTGCACTGGTAGAAGAGTAAATGTTTCCGGTCAGAAAAATCCTTTTGGACATAGCAAATCATAAAACAAAAACGGCTTTACGCTGTATGTGAAACGCACGAAAACTAGTTTGTAATTGTTTACTGCTTCCTCAAAACTAGAGACCTACGGGTAATAAATCAGATACGAAATGAATGAGATATTAGGCCGAACTATAGTTCTCATGTGATACATATTCATGGAAAATTCTATTCAATGTATCTAAAAATTTACAAAATCTCATCCATTCATTAAAATGTCAAAAAGAACTTTTGTAAGGTGCAAACCATATTATGTTCAATCAAACAGACCAATATTTGGTTGTCGGTACCATAATGAAACTTAAACTTTCTTTAATTCATGGATCAAATTTCAAAACCAAATTATAGACATTTTTACTGAAAGAGAAAATTATCATGTTTATGACTCTTTAAACAATGTCATTAAATGTACACCTTGTCCAGGAGCCGTCAAGTCTACAAATGGTTTTAAATGCGGAATAAACAAGTTAACCTTCTCACGGAAAAATCAGATACATGAGAGCCGTCAAGTCTACAAATGGTTCTAAATGCGGAATAAACAAGTTAACCTTCTTACGAAAAAATGAAGCTCTGCAGGTAACATGGTCAAAGTACGAAATTTATTATATTCACATCAACATGTAAAGCATAAAAAAAAATTGTCGCTTGTCATGAAGGAACACTTCAACGGTTGAAATGTTCATTGTCAAATATTTATTGATGCAATAAATACTTTTTGCTGCACATCAGTTTTAAGCTAGAAAGCAGTCATCTCAGTTAAAACAATTGTTTCAAGAAAAACTTGCCAACCGGTCACTGTCTTTGTACATGTTATAAGTAAAATTAGGCATTAAGCTTAAATCCTAGGCAATAAGTTAACGCCTAGACATTAAGTTACTGCCTGCAATTTTCAGACAATAATCTTATTTCCTGAAACCTTTTGATGATTATTCAATATATTGCCAAACATCGTTTCAGGTGAACTTTGGGATTTTTGTTTTATCTTCCAGGTACATGTACATTCAGTGAAATATTTTTGATGCAAAGTATTTTTTAAATCATATTCCATATATCAATAAACATTAATTTAACACATCCTCAAATTTTAGTATTTTCCATATACATAACAGAATTTAAGGTAGCTAGGGTGTCTAAATGTTCGACGATAGATTTTTCTTAAACTTCTGTGAAAGGCTTCTGGGTCAATGTTCTTTCAAATTTCAATTTAAAAACTGGGGTCACTAACCTTGTTTTTTCGTTAGAATACACTGCAATTAACGAAATCAAAGTTTTTTTTCTATGCGTTATATATATAGGGAAAACCATAACTTTTCTTTATTGAGGAGTCGCTAAACGATATAAATGGATAAATCAATGGGAGAACTGTTTTTCACAATCCCATCCATCCGCAATATTAAATACAAAAGGGGGTTACAGGCTTTATCTTTTTGAAAAATTAAAAAAAAAAATGTCCTTTCAGAATTCAATATAATCATCTGCTCTTGATTTATTGTAAAAGGATTTTTTTCCGAAATATCTTGATACACGTAACGAACCTTAATTTTTAGATAGTTTAATTTCAAGTTTTAGATGTTTCTGTTGTATATTAAATGATCATGGTAAAATATTTTTTAAGTATTTTTGCAACATGTGTAGAATACATGCTCAGAAAAAGACACCCAATCTGATCTATGTAGATTCATAAACAGGTCATAGTGACAGAAACCGTATGATTTAAACAACTTAATAATGACTATGCAAATATTTCTCGTGATTTCATGGCTTTGCAAATATTTCTCTTGATTCCATCGAACTATCTCTTTCACTTAGTGAAAATTGTAACACGAAGAAAAAGTATATTTCACCCCGGTCTGACCTACCTATTGAATTAGTTATCTATTTCTCGCTTAAATAATTAAATAAGCGTGAAAGATTTCCACTGGACGTTAGGCAAACACCAATTAAACAATCAATCACAAATCTAAAAAAAAAAATGGTTGAAAAATTTCTTTTGACAATATTTTATTTTGTTCAGCAAAAATTAAACAATGATTTTAACATAAACATTAAGCAAGGAGTTTGACGTCGAAATATATATGGCTTACGCACTGCATGGACGATAAATATCTTTATATATATGTACTTAATTAATATCATAAACTTCTTTCTGTTTTAATATTTTAAATAGATTTGAAGAAAACATTCGAAATATGTTTATATTCGTGAAGTCTTCTATTCTCCAAACGAGCAGGAAGTTGCAATCGTCTTTGGACAGCATTCATCCACCGTTTATATGTGTTGAAACGTTTTTGTTTTGTATACTGAATTGCTATGACATTTACTAGGTTTGTTTTATCCCTTCATTCTTACTTCTATCATCACCCTTCTTAAAGGTCTTTTTTTCAATTTTGTAATGTCCATGTGCAAGGGTGTGGATTGCGTCTGGTAGGATGTAACGTTTGTCTGAAAGTACGATCTTGTTAATCTCCTCGATGAAGATGGCTGCGGAAGATATTCATGGGTCTGTATATCTCCTGCTGCGTTTTGAGACATTTCTTGTAATCATCAAAGACGATGTTACAATTGATCACATTTTGTTTAACTCCCTTTGCTTTCTTGGTGATTTTTTCATTTACCTTATAGGCGTACTCTTTTGCTCGAAGACCTACAAATTCTTTCGTGATTTCACCCCCACACTCATTCTTAAATTTTCCAATGAT